AAATTTGTCAATGCAAAACTAACCCAATTTTGTAATTTATATGAACCATTTTACACTCTACATATTTGCATTCACACTTATTTGCATCGTTTCCAAACGCTACCTCGAGTACAAATTTCAATGTATAGAGGAAAGTAAAAGCTTCCCACTCCAAAGTAATATCTGATATGCATGGAGAAAGGGGAATTGCTCATGAAAACATATGGGAGCCATTGTGATCACGGAGCACAATACTAACACCAACACCCTCGGTGCTAGTAGCTCCATCAACATTAATTTTCTGCTATTATAGAAAAAAATAGATGAAGGATAAAATGTCTCATAAAATAAAACATCGGTAGCTTGGGGTTTTATAATTATACTAGCAAGCCCCATACGATGCATGGGAAAAAAGATGTTAGGTCTTATTAGGTTTAAAACTTATTGCTCTATGGTGTTACACAATTTGGGGGTAGGGATGACAATTTTCTCCATCCCTGCCAAGTACTTGGCACCCCCAACCAGGCAATAATGGGGATGGAGAGTGCCTTAGTGGGGACAAGGTGGAGATGGGATTAATAAGAATACCCAATTGAGGATGGGGACAAGGACGGGAAGTTAAGTCTATATCCCACCCCAATCCTGACATTATACGTATATATATAATATCATTATGTTATTTATATTATATATCCAAATATATTTAAAAATATTAGTTGCATCTTATTTTACTTTATTTTAAATAAATACTTTTCTGAAAATAAACTTTTAATTAAAAATTCCAGGGATTCAAGTCCTCGATGGGGAACCCTTCTCCATCAGGGACAGGGGATGCAGGCTAAATTTTATTCTTCATAGGGGTTAGGGTCAAAGACGGAGATTAATTTAAAACTCGAGGTCGAGAAGGGGAGTATGATTCCTGCCTTGAACTCACCCGTTGCCATTCCTACCCGAGGTGTCATCCCCCAAACCCATAAATATAGTTACAATAATTATGGTAACTATAATTTATAAATGTAGTATCCAATACTTATAA